TTTTTAAAGACCAAGGAGAGGGAGTGGTCATGGTGAAACATCCAATCAAGCCCCGAATGTGCTCTGTACAGGACATCCAGACTTAAAACTGACATGTAACGTCTCAAAGAAATCGCTAAAACATAATGTCCTCTACAGAGGACAAAACTCCATAGCTGGTAGTCAGGAGGATATATATATATATATCTTTTCTTTTCCACTTTATCCCGGCAGAAATACAACAATAGACAACAGAAAATGTTACATTACATCCAGCAAGAAAAATTTATCTCAGAGTAACACTAGGCTATTGCTTTCCCATAGCTTCAAAAAACGCAAGAAACTGGCCCGTTATTGTCTAAATTTAAAACAAGGGTGTTACATTTGATCACTAAATGAATGTCGGCCATTTTTAAAGACCAAGGAGAGGGAGTGGTCATGGTGAAACATCCAATCAAGCCCCGAATGTGCTCTGTACAGGACATCCAGACTTAAAACTGACATGTAACGTCTCAAAGAAATCGCTAAAACATAATGTCCTCTACAGAGGACAAAACTCCATAGCTGGTAGTCAGGAGGATATATATATATATATATCTTTTCTTTTCCACTTTATCCCGGCAGAAATACAACAATAGACAACAGAAAATGTTACATTACATCCAGCAAGAAAAATTTATCTCAGAGTAACACTAGGCTATTGCTTTCCCATAGCTTCAAAAAACGCAAGAAACTGGCCCGTTATTGTCTAAATTTAAAACATGCTCAAAGGCATATATTTACACCAGCCAGTGGGCGTGGCTACAACTTAAAAGGGCGTGTTCTGCTTCCTATTGGTGCACAAACGAAAGTGGGCGGTCTCCAAACAACACAATACATTTAGCTTTTACGCTGGTGTTGTGACTTTATTCTTGCACGCAGACTGCAGTTAGTTTGTGGGTTTTAAAAGTGAAAGTTGCGTTCGTCTTCTTTTTGACCTTGTTTTAATGTCACCTAAGTAACTTAATAACGTTCTAACTATTTAAAACTGAAGGTTTAATGACGTTTTTATTGAGCGCTGTGCTTGCACCTGGTATAAGTGAGTTAAAATAGCCTTTAATCGTGATGCACAAACTGATTATTCATATGACTTGAACTCTATATTTTGGGCATCACAGTTATGGCTTTCCAAAGCGTCAAACTCTTTGCTCTTGAGCTGGACGGTCCGGAGGATGCTGTGTACAGCAGTGGAGAGATGGTCACTGGCGCGGTGATCCTGGAGCTCAACCGGGAAATCAAAGTCCGAGCCCTGAGAGTCCTGGGACGCGGGGTCGCTGCAGCCCACTGGCTGGAAAACCGCAGTGTCGGCGTGAACACCGTCTATAACGACTACACATCCAAGATCACTTACTTCAGGAAGAGACAGCACCTTATCCGAGGTGGGTTTGAACGGATTTATCAACTCGTTAGATATTTAAAGCGATGGCTCACTCAAAAAATAAGAAACCGTTTGAGTTTATCTCCCCATTTAGCAATGTATATATTTGTGTGTGTGTCATTTCTGGCCAAAATATGATTTAAATGTATGCTAAATATGTAGTTATAGTTTCAACCTTCATATACCATATTATATTTCAAATTTTTTTTATTTATTTCAGAGGCATGTATTTTAGATGTTGCTTGGGCATTTGGATACAACATATGGATACTTTAAATCAGTCGTGGGCCCCGTGTCTCACCTGGTTGCCCGTTGATGCCAACATTAACCAAAGTTGCCCCGTGTATCACCAGCCTACAGTAGCATTTAGGCTAAATAATACAAATGTGGTGGAGAGAATAGCCTACTAGACATCAAAATTAGATGTATGATTTAATAATGCTTCATTTACATTTCATATATTTTATTAATGTATAATTATACAAATTTATAATAATTTAATTATACAAAATAAAGTATAATTATATATTGTATTTGTTTTAGAACATTGTAAAGTTTATTCCTTGCTGATTTTTATTCAAATGTGTTTCTATACGTGCTATAGACAAATGAAGTTTTTCTTCAAATGGGATGTGAATTTATTTAGAATTGAAATATATGGAGGGCAAAATATATTTTTAAATGCTTTTTAAAAAATATTGTTATATTGTTAATATATTTTCAAAAGTATACAAAAACAAAAAGCCCCCCAAAAAATTTTTTGGCATCTTTTTTTTTTTTTTTTTGAAATTTATTTAAACAATATATTTGAAATATATTTTTTTGTTGTATGTCTGTGCATCACAAAAAGAGAAATTCTGTAGAATATTTTTCTACGGTGATATTTACGGTGATAATATCACATTTTTACGGTGATATTTATGCCCTTTTTGAGGCGTCACATCTTGTATATACAAAATACAAAATACAAAAAATGACGAAGAAAGAAAGTCATGCAGGTTTGGAACAACATGAGGGAGAGTAAATCACGACAAAATGGTGAACTGCCCCTTTAAGAGCGGTCATGCAGTAGTTTCACTAATGACTGGCTTCTTCTTCGTGACCTCTGACAGCTGGCACAGGAGCGATAACGCTGAGCAAACGTGTGATCTGGTTAATCATTCATCTGTTTAGGTGAAATACACACGAGCAACTGCACTTCACAAGCCAAATGCTTCTCACCAAGGTGATAAAAGCTCAGTTATTGTCATTAAAATGAAATAAAGGGGCGTTTGGGTTGATGTTAATAGGAAGTACTGATTTACAGGTTATCAGGTTGTGTTTTACTGCTCTCAAACTCTTTGCTCTTGAGCTGGACGGTCCGGAGGATGCTGTGTACAGCAGTGGAGAGATGATCACTGGCGTGGTCACACAACACAATATAATGTAATAGTTATAGATGTTATGACCGTCTAGTTGATTTCAACACTTTGCTGCAGTAATTGGCAGTTTCTGTGAATGCAGTACAATATGGTGTCCCAATACTGTTTTGTTGTTTGAGATGTATTATATAAGCTATGTCTGGTAAACTATTATCTAGCATGCAACGTAGCTGGTTTAAATGCAATCTCCAAAGTTTCAATCTGTATACACCTTAAAATTTTTGCCCTGTCCTTAGAGGTCTTGATCCTCACAACAATATCTAACAATGATACAACAATATATATATATATATATAACAGAATACTTTTGACACACTGTTGAATTAATATTCAATTAATTGTAATTTTTTTGTAATTATAAAATAATTTGTGATTTATTTAGTGTAATGAGAGAAAGATAAGTAAATTACAATAAGTAAATAATCTTTGTCAAATTATTTAAACAAATGTTTTTCTTTAACTTTAACTTTATTTTTATTTTTTTGACTTAGTTCTCTCATTGCATTTTTCTTCACTGACAGTCTGTCAAGTGTTTTTTAAATTTTTTTCCCAAGTTATCAAAGATTATCAGAATGCAAACAGACTTTTCTTTCTTCAGTGATAACGAGAAATGAGGCCGTGGACAGATGAAAGATCCGTCATCACAGCCAATGTTTTGTCAGATATCACAACTGACAATGAAGAGTCCTTTAAGGAATATGATTACTAATATGCATTTCAGACACTGGCTCACATCCGTTCTTCTCTGAAGGCTTGGATTGGCCAATAATTGGCTATTTTACAGTTTCGGCCAATTAAAGTTGGTTCTTGTGTCAAAACAGAGCGCTACACAGTTTAGATGCGTGTCTACATACCGCAGTGTCAGTTTAAGAAATCGCATGGCCAGGCTTTCTTATCATTATCTAAATAAACAGCTTGTGACTTCGAAGCACAGACGTGACAGTCCTCACGTTGTAATTTTTTTGAGCTTTAAACCACTAGAGGGAGAACGAAGCACACTAACATGTGCGAGGCGTTAAACTACAGAAGCGAATCCACCGCGAGAGGGCGATGCGTCAACTTTACTTAGCTGCTAACAAACGAACAAGTTGTTTTGGTCATAAAAGTCTGAGAAAAGTGCTTTTGTACTTTTGTTTGACCGCCTTAATACTTTTGGCAGTTCATACACTTTCTGCAGTGCCACTAAATGTTTGAGAGACTGAAATGGCTTCAAGTGTTTGTTTAACTTATATATTACGCAAAGGAAGTTCGCATATGCGCATCTTTCAGAAACGTGACTGATAGAAAGTAGCACAACAGCACAGAACGAACCCGTTTTTGTTTTGCTGAACTTCTTCACTGGGAGGTTCCTCTGCTTTGGGCATGCTCAGTCAGCTTGTTTTTGTCTAAGAACCTGTAAGCATCAATCATCCGAGCTCCCTCTCCATCCACACCCAGTTAAGATGTTTATGAGCAGGCAGCGATTCCTGCAATAGGCCTTACATAATAAAATCAGTAAGACCGCCCACACGAGTTTAAAGGCCCTTCAGGGAACATGCACAGCTTCAGTTTTGTTTTGAACCTGAAGGAAGAGCAGCTTCCTTGCACTTGAATGCACGCTCGCGCTCTTTGTTTGACTTCGCACGTCTGAATTAGACATACTTCAAGGGCTGCACTTGGGAAAAACCAAAGATGATTTTCGACAAGCTGAAAAAGTTCGACATAGTGTTTGATTCTCCGGAGCTGGACTGTCCTCCGGTGTTCAGCAGCAGAGATGTTGTCTCAGGGAAGGTTGTGCTCGAGCTCTCGGCGGAGACTAAAGTGGAGACGCTGAAGTTGCATGCAGAAGGTTTCGCTAAAGTCCACTGGACCGAGTCTCGCAGCGCCGGGTCCAGCACGGCTTACACGCAGAACTACAGCGATGAAGTGGAGTACCTAAACCGGAGAGAAGTTCTGCTGCAGGCAGGTCAGTCATTCGCAGCCAGAGTGGGCTGCCTAACTAGAAGACGTTCAAACTTGTTTTCGCCTTTCAGTCAAACTGAGTCGACTCTTCAAGGAGTTCACCCAAAAATAAAAACAACATTTCTGTTATAATTCTCCCTCATGTCGTTCTAAACCAGACTTGCTTTCTCACGTGATTTTAAAAATAAACAAAGTGAAAACTGCTTGAAGCTAAGAAAAAAGCATCAAAATGTCTACTCCTATGCTGTGTGTGTGTTATCTTTCAGTTAATGTTAATCATTCTACAAGACCATTGATTCAAAAGAACTGAACTCGATAACGAGATCTGTTTTTTCAGTTGGATTAAGCAATTAATTGAACGTATTTTACTCACAGGAATCGATAATAATTGACTCACTCATCGGAAATTGCTACGTTCTTCTTGTAAACAGAAGTTTTTAGTTAATAAGGACTTAAATTAGTCTTAATTATACATGTTTAATTTTTTGTGTGTTTAATTTGAGTGAAGCAGTACCTTTACATCAGCAGTTTGGTTAATGTGTAAATAACTATTAAGGTGAGCAATATTTAATAGCTGCTAAGTCAGTTACTATTCAAGAGGCTGGGGCTAAATGAGAAACAAGTTCTACTTTATGCCTTTAACAACTAACAAAAGCTTAACCGAAAGGTTTTGAATGAACTAGACAAAAATATTCCTTAGTGACAACAGCAGTTGATGGTATGTTTTGTTTATATCATCATATGCAATTCTGATACTACTGCCCTTATCGTTGTGTGTTTATGATCCATTGGTGCAATCATGTTTCTTTACCTTTCTTCCCCTCCAGATAATGGTGAACTGACAGTCCTGTCTGCCGGGAGACACGAGTACCCTTTCAGTTTCCAGCTGCCAGAGGAGTAAGCGTTGCTTGCTTTATTAGTCTCATAAAAATGTTATCAGTGAGCTTTATTTGGAAAGTTCTGCAAGGATATGAGTGTTAATGTAAGTGTTTTGTCTGTCAGAACCCTAGTGACATCTTTTGAGGGCAAGCACGGCAGCATTCGATACTGGGTGAAGGTTAAGCTGCATCGCCCATGGGCCACCGTCAAGAAGATCAAGAAAGAGTTCACGGTTATCGAGCCCATTGACATCAACACACCGAGTTTGCTGGTAGGAGCTCAGAATGGCTGTCGCTTTATTTTCGGTTTATAGTTTTGTGCACGCTAAATCAGAGTTTTTATCTTCAGGCGCCTCAAGCTGGAACCCAAGAGAAGATGGCCCGCATCTGGTACCGCAACTGCGGGCAGGTGTCGATCACCGCAAAGATCGACCGCAAGGGCTACACGCCGGGTGAAGTGATTCCAGTCTTCGCTGAATTCGATAACTCCACGTCTCGCGCCGTGTTGCCGAAAGCTTACATCACCCAGACGCAGACCTTCATCGCAAGGGGAACCATGAAACAGAAGAGGGCCGTGGTGGCCACGTTGTGCGGGGACATAGTTGGCGCACGCCGTAGAGAGACGTGGCACGGCCGCGCCATCAAAATCCCCCCAGTCGGCCCCTCCGTCCTGCAGTGTCGCATCATTAAAGTGGAATACATGCTCAGGGTGAGTTTGAGAACTTTGAGCTACTAAAGCTGCTAGAATGATCTTACTAAACATCACTTTGTATTTTCATAGGTGTGCGTTGATGTTCCTGGGACGTCCAAGCTTTCCCTGGAGCTTCCTTTGGTTATGGGCACCATCCCTTTGCATCCATTCGGCAGTCGCACGTCTAGTGTAAGCAGCCAGTACAGCGTGAACATGGAGTGGCTTCGCATGGCCATCCCTGAGCAGCCTGAGCGTACGTTTCTTCCCAACCCTGGGTTTCGTTCTCTTTCATCAGCCTGAAACGCGACGTCATACCGTGAAATGTGTCGCTCACTTTGAGTCTGGTTTGTTTTTTAACCACAGCTCCTCCAGATTACAGCGCTGTTGTGTCAGATGAGGAAGCGGTCCAGAACTCCACAGCAGTCCAACCTGAGGAAGATCTCAGCGGCGTGCTGCAGCGCTCCCTCATGGCCTACGTGCAGGAGTTCAGATTACGCCCGCCTCCGGTGTACAGCGAGGTGAGCACACATGCAAAAACTGTAGTTATGTATTAGACAGAGGTTTTCAACTGGTTTTGTCAGTCAGGGCCAAGATTTTTTTAAATTTTTACATGTTTATGGAACAAAAAACGAAACTGTTTGGAAGCTTGTTTCACCCCAGAGTACAAAAAATAAATATGTATGTTGTATAATATGTGTAATATGCAATCCCAAAACCTAGACTTTTACTTCAGAAGAGGCCCAAAAAGATGTTTACAGAACAAAAAGCGAAAATATTTGGAAGCCTGTTTCTGCCTCGGAGTAAAAATTTTTTTTAAAAAGTTAAAATAAATTTCAAAATATCACTTCTTATCTTTTAAGTTTGTCTTATGACGTTCTTTTCAATAATTGCAGGTTATATATCATAATTACGACCTCTTGAATTTGCAACTTTATATCTCCCAGTTGTACAATGTGATTTTAATATCACAATTGCATCATAGATTTTTAAATCAGAGGCAGAAAAACTGTTTAATGCAAAAAAACTAAAATTTGGAAGCTTGTTGTTTCTACCTGAGCATAAACCCCTTTTTAAATTTTTTTTTTAATCTCACATTCACTTTTTACTTTGCAACTTTATATGCCTTATGACTTTCTTTTCTATAACTGCAGGTTATATATATCATAATTGCGATTTGAGACTTTCCCCCCCGGTTTCACAGACAAGGCTTAAGCCTAGTCCCAGACAAAAATGTAATTCTGAGCTGTTTCAACTGAAAGAAACTTGCACTGACTGATCTTAAAATATATCAGTGCACACCAGTAATGTTTTTTTCTAAAGCACGTTTATAAAAACGACTTAAATGTCCTAATTGAACTATGGCCTAATCCTGGTTTAGTCTAAGCCC